CAACAGACGCAGCAGCTAATATTTATTGAGAACTTATGCTATGCCAAGCATTGTGCTAAGTAAGGACTTAGTAAGTATCTGATCCTCAAGAGCCACCATTAGGAAATCTTATTCCCACGGTAAGAACCAGGAAACTAAGACTCAGAAAGATCCAGTAACTTGCCCCAAGAACACAGCAGCCATCTAACTAGCAGAGGTTGGATTTCAAACACAGGCAGTTTGCCTCAGTGTTCTTAACCACATACCATTGGCCTTTCAAGGTTCCTAGCGACCCACGACCACAAATTCCTCTAGGAGCAAACTGGATGATCTTCAGAATCCTTTCCGGCTTTAAATGCAGTGATTCTCTCTTTTAAAGAAATAAAATGAATTTAGCACTTGGAGAAATAAAATGCAACAATGCTGTTGCCCTGATGAAACAGAATGAAGCGTCTGGGTGTGCCTTACCCACATCCAGTCAGAAGGTAAAAAGTGCTGATTTTTTAGGGTAATGATGCCCTGTGAAACCACCAGACTGCCCCATACCATCTCCAGAAAAAATGACAGCTTGAAGTTCTGAGAGGATGCGCCAATGTGCAAAGGTCTGCAAGTTCACAACTATCAGCTCTCAAACCTTAATTTGACTTTTTTTTAAAGGAGTCAAATCCAAGAAAACTAGCAGAGCAGGGGCTAGTTTTAAGGATGCCAGTGTAAGATATATGTGACTTTGTGTGCAAGTCTACACCTGCTCACGGAAAACCCACCTCCTCCAGGTAATCTGTGTTTGAAGTCTTCCCTATGGCCTCCTAGCCTGTGGCTCACGAGTCCCATAATTTCAAGGAGTTCTGTCCTATGCGTACCTCCCGATGTCTGCATACCCTCCCTTCCTCACCACCCATTCCCATCTCCAGACACACAGACACTCAGACAGTGCATGGCTGCTTCCCCAACCCATCTCTGATTCATCTTCTCCCTGCTCCGCACAGGAGTTCTTTGCCCACCCACCTTGCCACTAGCAGATACAGCCAATGGGAAATTCTCCCAGCTCATCTCATCCTCGTTCATTCTCTCTCTCCGTCTCTCCTCCTCCTCTCCCCCTCCCTCTCAGCTCCTGGTACAGCCTGAAACCGAAATTAATCTCAAAGTGAAATCATTTCCTATGCCTGATCACCCTACGCAGGTGAGAATCTCCTCAATGGAGTGCCAACTCCAGCTTGTGGGGTGCCAGAAAAAACCAGCCATGCAGGTGCCCCCTTAGAGCCTGAACCTGTCTAATGCATAGACAAAAAGGGTTAGAGGAGGAAGCAAGACTCCTTGCCCTACTCTTTGCACGAGTCCATTTAAATTCACCCCAGGAACTAAAGTTCACTGCCTGGTATTTTAAAATCATTGTCCAGCATCAGTCCATATTTGGCTCATTCTTAATCAGATTCCCTTCAGAAAGCAAGCTTTGTTCTCTTCAGAGATCTCTGTAGCCTCTTGCCGAATGTTAGTAGAGATTGTTATTCTATAAGCATTTTTCAATATTGGAAAAATACAGCCTTTATTCTTGCACCAGGAACCGCCGCAACAAAAACTAAAATAAACAAATAAAAACCACAGTCATTGTACATGAACATAATATCAGTTCTTGGTGATCTTTCAAAGAGTTATAAACTTGGAGAAAGAGCCTAAACTATGTTTTGTTTATTACCTTTCTCCCTACACACTTGTGGGCACCTTTCTCTGGTGCTGGGGTGTTTTATAATGGCCCTCCTGTTGGCTCAAGCAGAACTGAACCAGAAGGGTAAATACACAGGCCCGACAATGGTAAAGAAAAAAAAAAGGATTAAGTTTTGGGTTGGTTGCTATTTATTCTTCAGTCAACAAAGTTTTTGAGAGCCCTGTGTGTGCACCTGAAGTCTTTTGTGTGTGGGCCCCAGGTGATAGTTCCAACTGTGAATGCCGTTCTCGTCCCAAGGCCAGTCAGCTACTGCCTGGCTTCCAGAAGCCTCTTCTCCAGGTCTGTTTCCATCCTTGGGGCACTTGCAGGAAGCAACTCCTCTGACTAGAATCAGGACAGAACAAGAGGCCCATCTGAGGGGCAGATACGGTGTGTGTCTTGCTTCATTAATTCGGGTATGAGCCACTCGCTAGTACTGGCCACTCTTGGGTCATTCACGGTACAATGAGGGGTTCAGCCAGATTTGAGCAACTTTCTAGCTCAAAAATTCCAGTTCCTAGTCCCTCCTATCCCTGAGCTGACACAGACCTTGAGAGGCCTCCGCTTCATCTTCCTGTCTCCAAATGAGACTTCTTAAACCACAAAGACAAATGAAATTTGTTCCCGTTTCTAAAGACCTTCGGGGTAGGCCATGGCCCTCAGCTACTGTGAGTCACTGTTGTCACATCACACATCCTATCTGGAGCGTTTTCCTCATACCTTGCTTGGGTCCTTCCTCCGCACTTTACATTTTTACATTCACTTGCCTCTTGTTCTAAGATCGGAGAGATAAGAGTGAATCACCGTGTTCTGAGAAGTAATGTTACGAGATTTTATTTCTTCTTCACATGTTCACTGTAGGCATTGCAGAGGGTGACTATTAAAAACCACAAAGGCATCAAGGAAGTCAGCCACACTTCCCAATTCCTACCTCATTCTAGCAAGTATGTCACAGGATCCAGAAGGTTCTACTCATAGTTCACAGAGTGGCAGAGATATCTCTGTGGACAGATCAGCTCTGAAGGCAGCAGTTACTCTGATACTCAATTCAAGTGTCCCCTCTTCCAGGAAGGTTTCCCTGCTCCAATTCCTCCTCAGGCTGACACAGTGCCCTCCTTCAGCGTTTTGTCTCATCGCAGCACTTGCCATGAAGACTGGGGTTCTAGGCTAACAACTCTGTATTCCCTACTAGACATCTTGAGGGCCCCACGATATCTTAGTGACCTCTGTACTCCAGGACAGGCCCCAGTAGAGTGCCTGGCACTTGATCAGTGGCCCTCAGCAGACAAGGCTCAGGTGACCAGCCCAGTCATGTTTCAGGAGGCCTGAGCACTGGCAGCCTTTTGAGAAGAGCTTGAAACTGCCCCAGCACCCACCCCCTTATCTGCCCTCCCTACCCTATCGCCTCCCACTTCGCCCCACCCTCTAGCTCAGTAAAAGTCTCTCTGAGAATTTTTTCCACCGTGTTAACAAGATTTACTTTAACCAAACAGAAATGAGCAAACACCTTGAGTGTTTTATGTTCAATTATCTCTGAGAATTTCTCTAAGGATATGACCTCTGCAGCCAGGTTTCCTGGGTTCAAATCCTGGCTCTGCTACTTTCTTGCCATGTGATCTTGGGCAAGTGACTTAACCTCTTTGTAGCTGTTCTATCACACAGGCTTGTAAGGATGAAAGAAGCTAATCTATAGAAGCACGTTAGGCAGGATCCACCCATAGCAAGTGCTCAGTAAATGCTGGAATGGTCATATCCCAAGTCTGTTTTTCACAGGACACCCCCAACAACCCCTGCAGCTTCCACTCGACTGCTTATTGGGCCTGTCCCCTGCAACCCCACCACTAGACTCCCGTCCTCAGCACACCGCCCCCCAACCTTTGGCCTATTCCTCTAGGACAGTTCTAACATTAACATTAACAGCCATTCACCCCTCACCGATTATGATCCTCATCCCCACCCCTAACTTAATGGGCAAATTCTCCAAAGAGGAGGGCGAAGCGATGGTTCCACAGCAGCACTACAAATGCTGAGTCATTTTGTCCCCAACTATTGCTCTCCATCCTCACCTTTGACATTTCAGGGCCCCACCACCACCATTTCCCACTGTGTAGTCCCCCCTGCTCCTAATTGAAGAGCCTCACCCCACCCATGTCACCCTTCCAAAAGCTAGTCTGAGGCTCTACAATTTTTACCAAAATTTTCCTTAATACTAACATGCCTCAGAACATTAGCACCCAAGTGCAGAAATAATAATGGCCACTGGGCCTCCCTGGTGGTACAGCGGGTTGAGCGCAGCGCTGTGAAGCTGTCCACAGCCTTTGCAGCATGGGTTCGATTCCCAGCCAGCCAGGGAGAAATCCACATGGTGCGGCAGACCTCTCCTGACACCTGCTGCTCCCCTCAGCACTGTCTTTGGTCCGTCTGCCTGTTCTGCTCCATGCGCTCTCTGATGAATTCTTTCACCCTCCCGTGCCTCTGACCTGTACCCCCATTTCTTGTATAAATAAATCTATCTTTAAAATAATAATAATGGCTTCTATTCTAAAGAATGATGTCAGAACTTCTTTAACTCTTTTTTAAAGCTGTGAAGCTGAGTAGGTCAGATGTTACCAATTCTAAGTGGGTATGCAACCCCAGACCCAATTCTCAAAACCACTAAGCAATAACGGAAATGAGCACTCAGGGCGAGATTCCCTTCTAGGAGGTTAGACCAGTGGAGTTGGAACATTTTTGTCCCAACAATCAGTCCTTCAAGACACTCAGTGCCACTGTCAGGGAAATAAAATTATCACATTTTATGAAAAAGGAGTTTATGTTTATAAGCGAGATCATATTTATCACTTGTGACCTGTTTTAAAGATAAAAGTGATGGCTGCATTATTTGCAGTCCACACTGTTCTGACATATCTCGTACTTCCTGGGAGGCTGGCAGACAAGCACTAAGTGAGCCAACCCACCGGCACCCTAAACTCACCAACCGGCACCCTAAACTCACCAACCAGCACCCTAAACTCACGAACTGGCATCCTAAACTCACCAACCAAGGCAGCAGCAGACAGACAGACAAATCCTGGCCGCTGAGGAATGTGAATCCTTAGTCTCCGCCACAGGTCACAATGGAGGCAACCATTCTGAATGGCCTAGGCCAGACCACAGACTGGGAGTCTAAATAAGGGCCCCAGTTCCCAGGAGCACAGCCACCATGTGATGTGGCATACAATGCATCTCTGCACATATGCATGTTTGGGGGCGTGGGGGGAGGAGTTAGAGCTTTTACCAGATTCTCAAAGGGGCCCATAACCCCAACCTAGACATTTACCATCCCTGGGCCATCTTAGTTGTCCAAGTTGTCTCTCTCCTATCCAAGGATGTGCCAGGCCTGAGGTAACACTCCTGTTCCGGGCACCTGTTCCTTCCACCTGTAGAAAGGGGTCAAAGGAGGTTTGAACCCTGGTGGCCTGAGCCAGGTTCCTCTCTCTATTTCCATCCATCCATTCAAACTGAGATGACAGCAGCATTCACCACCACCAACAGAAAGCACCCACTTTCACACTTGACTCCACAGGGGCCAAACCTCATAGTGAGACGACTTCTGCTATGAGGGGATACCAGGTGTCCCTCACCTCCTTCAGGTACACCAGGCTAACTCGAGCCAGACTGCAAAGGTGAGCACACCTGGCAGAGAAAAAGAGATCCAGCCCATCTTCCTGGATTCTTTCTCCTGAGCCAGGTAGCTCAGGTCCTGCAGAATAACCAACAGAAGGGCCTCCCTGGTGGCACAAGGGGTTAAAACGCAACCTATGAAACTATCAGCAACCTGTGCAGCACAAGTTCGATCCCCAGCCAGCGAGGGAGCAACCCACATGGCGCAGTAGACCTCTCCTGACTTGCCCACTGCTCCCCTCAGCAGTGTACTTTGTTCAATCTGCTTGTTCTGTTCCCCACTCTGTCTCTGGTGAATCCTCCCACCCTCTCTGCACCTCTGGCCTGTACCCCAGCTCTTGTATGCATAAATAAATAAATCTTTAAAAAAAAAAAGAATTCCTAATTGGAATGAATCAAATAAAGCTCAGTACTAGACTATATATCTATATCTATCTATCTATATCTATATATATAAAATAACCAACAGAAGGCTCATCCTGCAGCTCCCTGATGCCCCTGCCCAGGGATCAGGTGAGGAGGGAGATGGTCTTCTTGTGTCCTGTATCGCTTCTAAGACATCTCTAAACGTCCAGCCATTCCCCTCACCTCCACTCTTACCAAAAATAAATAAATAAACGGTAAAATCTAAACCCTCTCCCCTTCAAACAAATTCCTTCCTAGGAATTTAAAATCCAGCATACATTCTTGGGGCTAAAACTTCGTTTAGAGGAAGAGAAATGGGCGGGCCGGTGCTGGGCGTGAGGCCACAACGCAACGCGAAAACGAAGGGGAAAGAATGAATTAACACAAACACCAACCCCCTGGAGCTCAGCGCCCCGCGCACGCCGAGCCCGAGGGCGGGGAGCAGGGGCGGGGACAGCGCGTTCTGAACTTTCCTGGCCGCGCCGCGGGGAGACGCCGCTCCCCGGGGACCGGGTGGGACCTGAAAGGGCTCCGCCGGCCAGTGACATGGACTGGGGCAGGAAGCGAACCTCCCTTCCTCCTCAAAAGAGCTGCGCCCCCAGCAGGCGCCCCCCGCCAGCCAGCGCCCACCAGCCAGCGCCCCGGGCCCGAGCCTAGCCGGGAGGGGCCCCCACACAAAAGGGGGAGCGGCCGGAGAGGGGCTCCGGGCGGCCCGGCTGAGGAGGCCTGGCTTCCCTTCCCGCCGGCCTCCGCCCGCGCCCACCCGCTCACCCCGCGCGCCGCCCCCACACCCAGACGCCGCGCGCCCGGCCCGGCCCGGCCCGGGATGAGGCGGGGGCGCCGGCAGGAGGCGAGGCCGGGACCCGCCGCACGCGGCTGGGCGGCGCGGGCTCCCGGGCGGCCGCGGCGGCAGCACCGGGACTCAAACTCGCGCCGGCCCGGCCCTCCCCGCGGCGCCTCGGCGATCGGCGCCCCCGGAGGTGGGGCGGCCGGGCCGGGCCGGGCCGGGCCGGGCGGGGAGCGGGCGGGGAGCACAGGGAGGGTCTTACCGAGCAGCCGCCACGCGCGTCCGCTCCCCGCGGGCCGGAGGGGCCGCGGGCTGGGGGAGGGGCGCGATCCCGCGGCGGCGGCGGGCCCGGCGCGGCGGCGCGGCTGGGGCGCGGGAGGCGGAGAAAGCGAGGCGAGGCCGGCTGCCTAGCGGCCGGCGGCGGGAAATGCAGCTGTCCCTGCGCGCCCGCCGGCGGGGCCACAAGTGGGGGCGCGCGGGGAGGAGCGGGGCTGCGGGCGGGGCGGGGGCCAGGCGGCGGGGCCCCCAGACCCTCTCCGCCGGCCGACCCCTTTCGAGAGGGGAGGAAGCAGGAGTGGGGTACGTGAGCAACACGGCTGCGAGGACTGGGGAGCCCTGGCTGAAGAGGAGGAAAATCCGCGCCGTGTCACCCCTTCCCCCGCCGCAGTGGCTCCCCAGCAGGAAGGAGGACACGAGAGAGGGGCACTGGGCTCCGGAGCAAAGCGGGGTGCGGGGCGTCGCGCTGGGAAGGCTCACCCCGGAGGGCAGGGCGGGGAGCCCTGAGGTCTAAGAGCTGCACCGCCCGGAGAGGGAGCAGAAAGTGCACGCACGTCTGGGATTTGGGGCCGCTGAAGAGTGGGGGGGGGGGGGCGGCCGCCTGGGAGTTGGGGCTCCGGAAAGGAGGCGAAATAAAGCGCTCTAGGCAAAGGAGATGGTGTGGAAGGGGTCTGGAGTCAAAGGTTACACCCATTCATGCCGTCGAATACCACCTGTCATCTCCCCATATCCCTGCCCAGCTTCCCCAGCCGCCTCGGAGAAAATCTGAGCTCTTCCACAAAAGTACCCGTTCAATGAATAGTGAATCAGCTTCGGCTATTCTTTTTCCATGTGGTTTGGTTTCAGACTCCAGTTTGAGGATGGGGAGGCGAGGACGGTCTAGCGCCCTGCCGGGAAGCGAGTTAGAGATCTGAGGAGGGTGAAGGCAGAAGAAAGCTCCGGCTGCACCCTGAGAGCTCTTGCAAAGGTTCTGACCCTCCTCCTCGAAAGCCTGCCTTAGAGACACACTTACTCTGGACGCAGACCCTAGGGATTCACCCCTCTTCCTCCTCTGAGGGCTTGCAGTCCCTTGCCTCCTGGAGGCAAATCAACACCCTCAGCCACAGAGACATCTGATGGTAAAAACCACAAACCAAAGTGCCCCAGACACCCATGTGTTTCCATCATTTGCATTTCAAGGGTAAGTTTTTCTTCAGCAAATTGTGAACCTGGGCGGGGAAGCACACCTTTCCTGGACAGGCCGAACATTGGGCTGGCATGTTGAGTAAGCTCCAGGGCTGGGTTTCAGACACCCTCAAGGACTTCCTCTCTTCTACCCCCCTCGACCCACACTCCACCTTGGCATTACATTAGTTTCTTTTTTTTAAAGATTTATTTATTTATGCATACAAAAACTGGGGTGTAAGCCAGAGGTGGAGGAGGGGTGAAAGGATTCACCAGAGACAGAGTAGGGAGCAGAACAGGCAGACTGACTGAAATACACTGCTGAGGGGAGCAGTGGGAGAGACAGGAGAGGTCTGCTGTGCCATGTGGGTTAGCTCCCTGGCCAGGTATCGAACTCATGCTATAGTGGCTGGCAGTAGCTTGATAGTGCTGTCTTTAACCCCTGCACCATCAGGGAGGCCCTGGCAGTACATTAGATTTGACAACCAAGAAGGTGGACCCGAGACCCCGGGTGAAAATCCTTAACCTAGGGGGACTGACCTATGCCTCCATGCTCACTCCAGACACCCCTTCTGGAGTCCTAAGGAGAGCCCAGGATTTATCCTCCTGGTCCTGGCTATCTGGACGATGTCATCACAGGTATTATCTTGCACCCACCCAAAGTGCTGTTCATCTGCATTTTTCTGCTCACTTGCAAGATCCCGCTACAGTTTCTCCCTGTCTCCTTGGCATTTCAGGACCTGAAAAATGCATCTGCAAATTTGCAGATTTCCACTTGCACTCACCTCTGAGTGCTCATAAAACCTTTTAATATGTTTTTAATATAGTCATCAAACAAAACCAGTCACCGCAATCAATGCTCTTCCTTAAAGACACTCCTTGGGTGTTGCTGATACACTTCCCCCTTCAGGGCTACCTTCTTGGAACACTTCCTAGCCCCCTTCCCTGTCTCTCATGCCCCCCTGGGTAATCTCCCACCACTGCTTCTGAGGGAACATTCCCCAGGCTCCCAAGACCCCCTGCCACCCAACTGTCTACAGAGGCTCCAACCCACAGTTCCCTCAGACACTTCAAAATCAAGGAGATTGAAAGGAAATTTGGAGCCCTTTTCCTCTGCAGGCCTCTCCTTCTCTCCTGAATGCACGCCTCTGCCTTAGCAGCTGGAAAACCTCCCCTGCATTCTGCTGCTTATCAGATCCTGCCCTTTCTACCTTCGCTCTCCCTCTGCTCTGGCTCAAGCCCCCATGGTCTCTGCTCCTCTCAGAAGATGAGATAATCTTTTCGCTTTCGAACCTAACCTTCCTGCCTTCAGGAAACTCTTATCATTTCTTTCTTCCTAGCCCTCTGCTTCATACCTACAAACACTACAGGATAACAAGAAACCCTTCCCCCTACCATGCCATGTCCTCAAGCCATGGCCCTATCTCTCTCTTGCCCATTCACCAATAGACTTCCTCTAAGAAGAAACCATATGTGCTCTCACTGCTTTCTTAATCCCATTGGCTCCTCGGTTTCCTGTAATCCTGCTCTCCCCAACATTCCCGGGACAGCTCTCAGTGGAAGCAACAACTGACTCCTCCCTACCGAGCTCCTTGGTCCCCCTGCAGCCCATCTGTTCTAATGCTGCCCCCTCCCCCAGGGCTTCTCCAGGGCACAATCCCCTTGCCTTTTCCATCAATCCTGCATTTCCCAGGATAGAGAGGAGTGGGTGCCAACCCTGACCGCTCCACTTGCACACTGCTGACCTTGGGTCAGTTCTTTAACTTTGTGCCTCAGTTTCCTCAGCTGTACAACAGAGCCTACCTCCAAAGATTGTGGTGAGGATTCAACAAATCCACACCTGATATACCCAGAACAGCACCTAGCACAGTAAATGGTCAATAACTGCCAGTATTATTATTGATATTATTATTGATGATAATAGTATGCATCTGCTCTCAGGGGAAGTGTGTTGACAATTGGTTCCTTCACCTGCACCTACTCCCTCTTGTGAGCTCTGGAATGTGTAACTGACAATGTCAGGCTGTCCCACAGCCACCTGACCTTCAGCAAAGCCAGCCTGGAATCTATCATTTTCATCTCCCCCCTTGCCAGCATTCTCTGCCATGGAGGACGGCACCTCCCACTTTCACCTGAGCTGCCCACTGCACCTGCTGCTGCCTCCTGTTCTACATACTGACCCCGGGTAAGTCCGGGCTGTCTCTTCCTGAATGTCTCCAGAATCTGCTCCTTCTTCATTCCCACTGCTCTGGCCTGGTTCAGGCTACTAGGCGCCCTGCCCTGCCTGTCTAGCCATCCTCCTCAAGGCTAGCAGGTATTTTAAGAAGAATTTTCTTCCCTGTCGAAATGACACAGATGCCTCCCCACTGCTTGGAGAATTAAATTAAAAAAAAAACTTAGAGAGGCACTTCCCAGCCTGCCCTTAATTTCTGTTCCAGGCCCCCCCTTTTTTGTCCTTACCCCTGTTTTAGGACAGCTAAGACCTTCTGTGTTCCCACAGAGTGAAGGGGAAGGCAAGGAAAGCCCCTTGCTAAGTCTCCCCTATTTATACACAGAGAATGGGGAGCATGTGTGCCGTGTCTCCCCCACGCTGACGCTGAAACTGAGGGGGAACTGTTGGACTCAGGCTTGGAAACAGCCTGGCTGAACCACAGGGAAAGCAGACATTGCCCTTCTGGAATTTCCCCAGCTCAGGACAAATACCAGCACATAAATGGTGAACAAGAAAACCTCTTGTGTGGCAGTGGCTCTGGAACTAATTGCCTTGTCCCAGCCGCCAGGAGTCGCCCCCTCCCCTGAACTGCCAAAGGCAGCTAAAGGAAGAGAGTGGGGTGATGCCGATGACCTGGGTAATCCTTTCTCCATTGCCACTGATTTGACCAAGAAACTCAACAGAAACTTAAAAAAAAGTCTCATTTCGGGGTTTTGAAAGATGTCATGGATAAAACATGGAAGCACTGCCCCCCAATTGAGTAAACCCCATATTGGAATAATAGCTAGATGGCTTTCTGTGAGATTGCTGATCTGACTCCCAACTGAGAAAAGGGTCCTGGGGACATTCACCCCCTTCCCAGAGTGCCAGCACCAATGCCATGCCCACAGCAGTCTGTGACCCCACCTGCCCTTGCACAGCCTTCCCTTTGTTCATCAAAGCCTCTATGTAGCAAGGGGTATTGTATCGA